TGCACGAGCCTTCCCGACGATCCCCCGTGGCCCTGCTCGCTGCTGACAGCGGCCGTGCCCCCTTTCCTGGCGAGAGAAGCGTCCCCCCCCCACCCTGTGTTTGCCGTATGCGCTGCTGAAGCTCACCCACGTCTCCCCGCCGTTCAGCCAACTTTCCGAGGGGAAGGGGCCGGCGGGCCACAGTGGGAAGGCCGCACGACAGCCTGGGACGGAGGGTGGGGGCCCAGCCGGGGGTCCTGGGCCTGGGCCCTGGGGGAGGGACGCAGGCCCGCGTGTCCTCCCCTGGCTCCACGGCTCCACATTGCGGCACGCCTGCCACTAATTAGTATGATCGACGCCGAGCGAGCCGACATCAGAGCAGCCCGCAGGCAGCCCCGGGGACCGGGGACCCAACGCCACTACCTGACTGCGCGGTGGCCCCACCGACGGGGTGGCTGCCCTCGGCGCTGCTGGCCCCGCTGCCCGGTGGGGCACGTACTCACCATGAGCCCTGCGAAGTGAGTGCTGGACGGAGGGGGGTCGCCGCCGAGCCGCTTATGTGGCACCCTCTTCCCTGCCGGCCTCCATGGCCGTCCCGAAGGTCAAGGTCCCACACAGTGGCCGTGGGGTCGGGCCCCGGGCCAGGTGCCTCGGGGCGACTGTGGGGCGGGTGAGGGTCAAGAGGCCGTCCCCATCTGTGAAGACAGGGCATGGTCAGGGCAGGGCGGAGGGTCCTCTGGCCTCAGCCCCCGCTGGCCCCATGCGGCCGTCCCACCCTGGCTCGGGGCACGCAGCGGCGGCGGCTGCCGGGGACCCGGTGCGGGACGTGAGAGCAGATGCTGCCGCCCGCCCGGGAGCCTTTCCAGCGGGGGAAGGCAGGGCTCAGAGCCCCGCGACATGTCCGTCAGGTTCCATCAGGAGCAGAGCTGACCTGGGATCCGCCTCCTGACGGGCAGCTGCGTGGGGCCGGCACACGCGGGGGCCGGGGTGGCCCCCCAGACGCCCCCGGGGCCCAGCCGCTCGCGCCCCCGGGAGCCCGAAAGTTGTCAGCGTCCGCATGGGGCTCCGTGGCGGATCCGATGTGGGGGGAGCCGCCCCAGCCCGGGAGCCTCAGGGGGCAGGTGCTGGGGTCCGGGGCCCCCCTCGCCCCCTCGTCCCGCGCCCCCCGCCCCCGCCCAGGCCCACCCGCCGCGCGGCTCAACTTCTCACCTATTTTGGCAGAAGCAGCCGGAGCGGCCGCGGCGCGCCCCGGGGAGGCGAGCGGCTGCGGCGGGGGCTCGGGGCCCGGGGCCGGGCTGCCATGGCGGGGGGCGGCCGCCGGCGAGCCCGCCGATCAACAGATTGCGGGACCGCAGCCCGGCGCGGGCTCCGCAGCCCAGGGGATGAGTCAGAGCCCGCGGCGGCAGACATGCGAGGCGATGCTCCGCGGGCGGCCTCCGGGGCTCGGGCGGGACCGCGGCCGCCTCTGCGCCTGCTTGGAGGGCGGGCGACAGCCGCCAGCCGGGGACGGGACCGGCCGCGAAGCAGGCGCCGTAACCATGGGGACGGGGGAGGCACCGGGCGGTGGCCGCTCCTGCTTCCCGCTCCCCGCTCCCCGCGCCCGCAGTGGTTCTTCCCGCGCCACCCGCCACACTGCGGAGCCGATTTAAAGGGACAACCGGCCGCTGTCGCCTTGGCTCCCTACAGAACCAGACGACTCCGCTAGGCATCTCCCCGAAGGGAGGCGGGGGGACTGGGTGGTTTTATTTTATTTTATTTTTTGCAGGAAATCCGTGTCTGTTGAGGCTCAGGAACGGACACGTGAGCAAGAAAATTGATTTCAGAGGAATCCTCACGGGCCTTGTGTTAGAGTAGCCTCCAGTTCACACTGTCCGCAGGAGGTGAGCCCACCTTGGGTCTGTCCCCCCAAGGGCCGGCGGGGTGACCCTGCAGGGGGGCGGGCCATGCCCACACAGAGGGGACCCCCTGCCCCCTCCCGGGGTCCCAGCCCCCAGCCCCGCGACAGGCCGGGTGCCGGGAGGGCAACGGGGCTATGGGCAGGCGTGAGCCCCGGGGATGGGGACCTGGGCGGGCGAGGGGGGACCCGGGGTTCCAGCCCCAAGCCCCAGGCAGCTGCGGTGGGGGCCCTGGGGCGACCCCTGCTGTCCCCTCTGGGCAGGAAGGTCATGACACTGGGGCCTGCTTGGAGAGTCGCTGGGCCCCGACGCCAGGGGGGACATCCTTCAGGGTGAAGCCTTCAGGGGGCCCTGCCTGAGGGGCTGCGTCCTCGGTCCTGGGGGTCGGGTCGCTGTGAGGAGCCCGGGCTCCCGACCAGGGACGTGAAACCCGAGGGCTGCACGGATTTTCCGGTCGCCCAGAGAGCGAGTGTCAGCATGGGCGTCCCTCAGGCCCCGACCACCCTGCTGCCCCGGGGTTGCATCCCCAGAGCTCGAGGGGTCGAGGGCCCGGGTTGGTGCTTCTGTGTGACTGGGGGCAAGAGGAGGGCGGGAAGGCCCACAGCCCCTGACGACCCCTAGTCCTTGAGCACCCCCGGCCCCTGACCGCCTCCAGCCCTAGACCACCCGGCCCTTGACCACCTGCAGCCCCTGATGACCCCCAGCCCCTGACCCCCCAGCCCCTGACCACCCCCAGCCCCTGACCACCCCAACCCCTGACCGCCCTGTAGCCCGCGATTGCCCCCATCCCCCAACCGCCCGCAGGCCCCTCCGCGCCGACTGCCCACAGGAACACAGGTCAACTCCTCACCACCTCCGGGGGCTCCCAGCCCAGAGACGATGGGAGGACAGATGCCTGGGGGGTGGGAAGGCCACAGAGGAGGGGGTTTGCGGGTGGCCGCGGCCCCCTGCTACGTGCGGAACCCGGTGTGCTGTCCCCACACGGCCTGTGCTGTGTCCTGGCCTCGGAGCAGGGGTTGTAGGGCCGGGACCGGGGCCTCCTGCATCGCGAAGAGGTGGCTTCTGGGAGAACTTACAAAGATGCATTGGGAGGCAGAGGGTGGGGCCGGCCCGCCCTGGAGGCCCCGCAGAAGCCCCCGCCCCGGTCAGGGCGCAGCACCACCCGCATGCCTTGGGGCCCCCAGGAGGCACGTGCACCCGGACCTTTGTGGCCTGGACGCGGGGGGGGGGGCGCCCAGAATCCCAGTGTTAACCTGGTGAAGGTGGGGGTGTCCCTTTGGAATTGCTGGGCAGGCCCTCATCAGGGTGGGGGGGCATGACGGAGGCCTCTGGCAGGTGCCCTGCCCCCCACGGCTGTCCTGCCAGCCCACCTGCAGGCTGCCGGGTGCCCCGGCCTGGGGCCTGCCCCAAAGGGCGTCTGCGGCAGGTGGGGGCGGGGGCCAGCGGGTCTGCACGTTATGCGCCTGTGAGATGGGGAAACCGAGGCACCAGCAGTGGGTGCTCCCGCTGCCGTGCTGCCTGGGGTCAGGGATAGTGGGTCCAGTGCTCGGTGTGACCGTCCACCGCCGAGAGCCTCAGACCTTCCCTCCAAGGTGACAGCGTCCTGGGCGTGGAGAAGCCGGGGCCCCACTGGGTGTGACTGTGGACGTCACGGGTGCCGGCCCCCCGCGTTGCACCCAGAGCCTCAGGGTGACCCTGGCGGTGAGCCCCGGGCCCTTCACCCTGGGCTGCGGGTGCCCTGGTTTTGGGAGCGTGGGGCTGGCGCAGGAGACGGTTGTCACGCACCTGTCGTCCCTCCCAGGGCAGCAGCCTTGTCTCCTCGACGAGCGAGTGACCCCTGGACGCGGGCAGCCCCGGGGACTCGGCCGGCACACCCGCCGTCTCCCGGGAAGGCCACACGGTCCGGGCTCAGGCCTCCGCGTGAAGGGCTCCCACGGCCGACGTGGGTCCGCGCTGTCCACGGGGGAGGCCACGTCGACCTCGGCACGTCCAGCTCTGACCTATCTCACGCCCGAGCTGTTCGTTCAACCGAGGGAGGTTTTTTCCGTCTGGGGGAGCTTGCTTCTGACGTGGAGGTGGGGTGGCTGGACGGGTGGTGGGGTGGGGGGTGGGGGGTGGGGGCCGGGCCCGCCCTGCTGCTCGTCCCTGCTGAACGGCCAGGTCCTAGAGCCCTGGGTCCCCATGCCCAGGCCACGTGCTCGGGGGTCGGGGTTTCTCTGCACCTGCTGCCTTGGGGACCCGCAGGTGTTCGGGGAGAAGAGGAAATGGTTAAGGGGAGGCTGGTGGGCCTCGAGGTCGGCCTGAGTGACGCAGCCTGGGGATGTCATGAGGACGGAGCAGCACGGCGGGGCTCAGGGAGCTCGGTGCCCGCTGCCCTCCGTCCCCCGCGAGTGCCCAGCCCCCCCCCCCGCGCCCAGATGGCCTTGGAGCCCCTGGCAGGTGTGCACTTTCCTGCACTGCCCGTGCCCTGGGCCCGAAACAGAAGCCCCAGGACGCTGGGGACGCGCCTCCGGGCCGGCGAGCCTGGCCGGGGGCGGGCGGCGGGGGGCGGGCAGGACGCGCGTGCAGCCTGTCTCACCGCGCACTTAGCATCCAAGCCTCACGGAGCGGAATTAAAACCGGCTCTCCCGTTGCCGTGGCAACCAGCCCCCACCCCAGGCGTCAGTTTGAGTTTGTGCCGAGCGTTTCTAACAAAGATTTGCAGCAACAGATTCAGTCTGCCCTGAAGTGAAGCCTAGTTGGAGACCAAACAGTAAAAGTAACACACGTGTCGCGCCCCAGGAGCACCCAGGAGGCGTCCAAGCCGCGGGGCGGGGAGGCCACAGGGAGGCCACGGGGCATTTTGCACGACTTCCTGGTGACCGTCCGTGGTTGGCGGGGAGCAGAGTGTTCAGGCCCTGCCGGAACGGGCCTGGGCGGTTTCTGCTGTGGGAGGTGTCCTGCGGGGACTGCGCCCTCGTGCATCTGGGCTCGGGGTCGGGGGTCGGGGGTCGGGGGTCGGGGGCAGGCCCACCTCGGGCTCCCCGGGACACAGGTGGGTGGCCCTTGGTGACTGAGCACCTGGGGGCCGATGGCCATTCCTCGGGTGCACCCTGATGGCCCCCTGCAGGCATGGGGGGCGGGCGGGGTGCTGAGGTCCCTGGTCACTGGTGCATGATTAGTCCTTTCTCCTTGAAATCACATTTTTTCTTCTTCCTCGTCTTCTGGCCCCTGGGAGTGTCCTTCAGGGGTGCGTCCTGGAGCCGACGCGCTGGGATGAGGAGTCTGCGGGCGCAGGGCTCCAGGTGGGCTGGACTCGCGGAGGGGGCGTGGGGGGATGCGCTGGGGGCCTGCGGGCGCCGCTCCGCCTGGAGGAGGTTCGCCTACGGAGGAGGAACAGCTGGGATGCTATTCGGGACCAGGTGGGGAGGGCGGGTGTGTGAGGAACTGTCGCTGGTTCTGAGGCACTGGGGAGTCATGGTGGGTGTCGGGGAGAGAGCAGCCCTCCGCGGCGCCGGACTGTAGCTGTGCCAGGGCTGCCGCCTGAGGCCGGTCATCATCCTCAGGGGGCCTCCTCCTAGTTCTGCTGACCCCTGTGCGCCCCACGGCCGCGCTGCAGCCTGCCCCACGGTGGGCACCGCGCGGTGGGAACGCACGTCCCGTCGGCCGGCCCGTCGGAGGACACGCCAGGGCTCCCTCGGGAACTGAGCACACTGCTTGCCGGCGACCTGCGACCCTGTCGAGGCCCAGACCGGCCGGCGATCCGCTCAGTGCAGGTTTTGGGAAGCCGTGACCGCATCCGCCCGCTGTGACCCCGAGGCCCCCGGGCTGTGCAGACGTGCACACGACGGTCCCGGGCACGCATGGGGAGTCGGGCCCAACAGGCCGTCCAAACCCAGGGTGCAGCACACAGCAGAGGCTGCGGGCGGCACCTGGAGCTGGAGACCCGACGACTCCGAGCCCCGACCCCGGGCGGAGAGGAGGCCTGGCCCCGTCACAGGCAGCAGCCCGTGGACTCTGGGGTGGGGCGTCACCCGCGGTGCACGCAGCTCCTCTCCCCGCCTGTGTCTGCGGTGGTGGTGGTGGTGGGGATTGCAGCCCCGGCGCAGGCTTTGTGGGGCGGGGGGTGTGCATGTTCCCTCCAGACCCGGAAGTCGCATGAGTCGCCCGGACGTGGTCAGCACGCCGCTCTCGTGACCGGGGCCCCCATGCGACCGTCTCTTGGTGGAACTGCTACGCCCGCCACCGGCCCGATGGTTTTACACCAGGACCAGATGCCAACAGTGGACGGAAAGCTAATGTTCCCTGGAGGCGTTGGGCCTGCTGGACGGGGCAGCCGTCGCGGGGCTGGGTCGGGGCTGGACGCTCCCTGCCTGTGCCCCAGCTCGGGGTCCTGCTCCCAGGAGCTCCGTGTGGGGAGGCACGTGGCACTCACGTCCCCTGGGCATGCTCACACCCCCCCGGGCACGCTCACCGACCCTGCTGCCCCCGAGGTTCACGCGACACCTCCCTGCCCTGCACCTGTGAGGCTGCAGCCCAGACAGTCCGTGATCTCCCTGCTGGTGACCCGCCCGGAGCCCTCAGCCCAGCTCCGGGCTCTTGGTGCCCCTGCCCGCCTGTCCTGCCCACCTGCCCGGCCAACGTGGCCGCTGCCCCGATGCTGCCCGCCGAGGCTTCCGCACGCGAGCCAAGGCAATGTTACCAGATTGGAAGTGGTCAGGAGCAAGTCTGTCTCCACCTGGCGATTCTCTTAGAATCCTGATTTGTCTGAAAATTAATATTCCCACGTGGCTGGCTTCCATATTCCACACACGCAGGACAGTCCCACGGCGCCCGATGTCCTGGAGCAGCTCTCCCTCTCCTTGGAAAATATCCTTGGGCATAAAAGCATCTTTAATTTCTGTTTCTCAGCCATTTATTCCCATTTTGAGCTGCTGGAACAGCAGTGGTTGGGAACGTTCTGGACGCCTAAGAGCAGGGGCCGGTTGGGGTCACCTCCGGGTGGGCGATGGCGTGGGCACCGGTGCATGTGCCGGGGGTGGTCCACGCGGACCCCACGGCCTCGGGACGGGTGCCCACAGCCGCGCAGGACGGGGACTGTTGTCACCTTATTCTTTTGCATCCGTACTTCCAGAATTACTTTCTTGACTATGTAGAGAAAAACCCCAATAAAATTGGCTTAAACAATAAAAAAACAACATGACATTTTTATGTGGCGACGTCCAGGTTTTTTCAGTTAACTCCTTGCTTGTGCTTTGGTTTGTCCCACTGTTTGCCCAGGTCACAAAGCAGGAGAGGAAAAGGTAGCTAGAATTTATGACAAAGTATAAAAAAAAAAAAACAAATCAAGAGAAAAGGAAAAGGCAAACATTGTGATAAGTAGAAACGTCGGGAGCAAAGCTGGTGAATCCCGAGGAGAAACTCATGAGCACGAGCCTGCGTTTACCCAAACCGGGTCCTATAGAAGCTGTGGCGGGCGCCCCGCGGGGTCTCTGGTGACACGGGGACGACGGCCGTGTGCAGGGCGGCCATGAGGACGGGGCACGGGTGGCCCCCCCGGAACTGGGCCTTGGAGGGAAGCACGTTGCAGGGTCCCGGGCCACAGAGCCAAGGCCCCGCTCACGGCCCCACACCCGTGCCCCTGGTGCACCTGTCATCCGGGCGGGCGCTGGCCCTGCTGCAGGTGGGGCTGCCCCCTGCACCCCCCCCCGCCAGACTTCGGGTCCTTCTCTCCCGGTTGGCGTGCTCGTCTACGCAAGCTAAGATCCTCATTAATTTCAAAACAGTTCAGAGACTCCAAATACTTGACCAGGACGCCCGCACGTCCCACAGCTTCTCCCCATGGAGGCGCAGGTGAAGAAGGGACCGAGGAGACCACAGGGGAGCGGTAGGTGGGGGGAGCGTGGCCACGGCGGGAGGCCTGGGGAGCACGGGTCCCAGCTCCCCGCTGCCCTGCACTCACCTGTTTGCAGACCCGGGTGTCCCCCCTGCCCTCGCCAGGCGGGGCTCACGGCCGCACTGGCCTCTCCCGTCCTCACCCCTATGCCTGCCCCACCCAGCCCCATGCATCTGGAGGGCCAGAAGCTTGCCCCTGCCCGGCCTCCGCAGAGCTGAGACCCCGCGGGCGGCCCGCGGGCCATCCCTGCTCCCAGGCGGGCAGGCGGGGGACGCTGTCTGTGGGGCGGCCCGCAGCCTTCAACCCTGCTCAGGGGGTCGGCCCAGCGCAGGGAGCGAGACGCCCGGCCGTGCACGCGGGCTGGGGAGTGGGCTGTGGGGCCGGCGTGGGCAGGTGTCGGCCTGGACGCCAGGTGGGAGGCCCGGCTCCCTGGGGTGGGGGTGGGGGGGCACCTCCTGCAGGGGCGAAGCGTGAGGGGCCTGGGGCTCCCAGCAGGCAGAGGCCGGGACCCTCGGGGCTGACCGCACGGGCCCCGGCCGTGTCCCTGGGGGTGAGGGCACAGCTTCCCAGGGAGCCCCCGTCTCCTGCGTGGAATCCCGCCGGGCTCCGCTGTAATCCTGTCGCCTCTGAAACACGATATAACAAGCCGCCGTAATCCTGGTTCCTAAGAGATTCGCGATGAAGCATTTTCTCCAAATGCAGTTTGGACACAGCTGGATCCATCAGGCGGGGTTGCAGGACGACTTCCAGAGCCCTCCGTCCGCGTCCACCCCGAAGGGTCCGCGGCACCAAAAGGTGCGCAGGCACCTCCCCACGGCCCAGAGCGCCAGGTCGCCGCCCAGGTGGCCGCTGTAAGGCCGGATGAGGTGCCTGGTGCCTGGGAGAGGCCGGCCCCATCCAGATGCGACGTCTCCTGACCGGGGGCTCCCGGGTGACCCCCGGGGTGGCTGGCTGGGCCCCGTGGGCATGGGTGCGAGTGGGGCCCCTCCTCTGACCCCAGCCGTGTGCAGCCGGGCTGGGGTGCTGGTGGGAGGAGGGTCCAGAGGCCAAGACCACCCTGTGCCCGGAGTCACCCCCAGGCTGGTGGCCGGCCCCTGGCTATTCCTCACCTGGAAAAGTCGGGGGCAACCCAGATGCCGTCTGGAAAGAGGATGTTAAATGGGAGATGAATTTGGAAAGCTCGATGTTCTAGTTCTGTGAACGAGAGGCCGCGGCTCTCAAGCGCTCAATGAGGCATAACGAGCGTGTGTGGATGTGACACTGGCCGCGACGCCGTGAGGAGCCTCCGGGGCCCCCGACTCCGCGTGGCTCGTCCGCGTCTGGGGTGCTGGTGGCTGCTCCCCACCCTCGGGCGCTTGGCCTGGGCCCCGCTGCCTGCGGCCTTCCTGCCGGGGGTGGCCCAGTGGCGCCTCCCCGTCCCTGAACCGGCTCCCGGAGAGGAGCGCAGGCGCCCCGGGACTCTGGGTCGGAGCCCCGGGCCCCGGCGAGCTCCTCCCTCCCCCACAAGCACTCGGGTCAGCGGCCTCTCCAGAAGGGCCTCCTGCCAGGTCCCGAGCCCTCTGCACCTGGACGTCCCGCCTTGGGAGGCATCCCTGGGGGGTGGGGCAGATGCCGCCCAGGCAGGAACCAGGCCGGGCCTGGACACGGGGAGGGGGAGGCCCGCTTCCAGGACAACGGCTCCTCGGGCGGTGGCTGGGCCGTCCTCCCACTCGTCCTCCACCCGCCGCTCACTCGGGGTCCTGCCTCTCCTCCCACGGGGCCTTGTCAGAGCCCGAGCCCCCAGGCCAAACCCGCACATGCCTGCTTGGGGGTGACTTGAATTCCCTCAGAGACCACGTTCCTGCCGCCGCCTCTCCCGGCTCCACGCCCGCTGCCCCCTTCCCGGCTCCCCCGCACAACGCCCACACTCCCCCTCGGGCCTCCATGGCGCCTCCATCCTCTCCCCTCTCCTGCGGTGACCGGACTGTCCTGGACACTCAGAGGCAAAGGCCCCACTGGTCACGAGAGAGAGAGAGAGAGGGACAGAGGGACAGAGGGACAGAGGGACAAGGAGACGGGGCGACAGAGGCCTGGGGTGGGTAGCGGGCAGGAAGGCTGCCCTGGACCTGCTGACCCCGGGGGAAGAGCCTGGAGCAGCTGGAAGGCCGGTCGGAGAAGCCGCCCTCGTACTGACCGCCCGCCCCTGGGCGGCTGCCCGGGGTCACAGCGGCCTCGGGGACCCTGGGGGCCCAGGCTCGGGTCTCTCAGGGACATCTGCTTGGGCCGAGCTGAGGTCGGTGCGTGTCTGGGCGGCTCCCGGGGGCCTGTGTGTCTGTCTCCGGCGTCCCCCCACCCCGTGCTCACTGGCCCGTGTCCCTCCGCCCAGGCCACTGCCAAGCCGCGTGCTCTCGGTGACAAGGGCTCTCGCGCGATGTTTCTTGGCAGCACGCGTCCGGTCCCCGGTACGTGGCTTCCGTGGTGATGCGTCCCTCCTGGCGGGGTGCCCCCGTGTGGAGGGCAGGCCGCCCGAGAGATGGGAGGTCCCCCACGTGGTCTGCAGAGCTCGCAGACCCCGGAGGAAACGACCAACCCTCGGCCACGGAGCAGCCTCGAGCCCGAGTCCAGGGCCGGCCAACTACCTGCAGGACGAGCAAGCTGCGGGGCCTCCCGGAGGAGGCGGCCTCGGGCCACGCTTGAGGGATGACCGGGAGCCACGTGTGGGGAGAGACGGCGGCGGCAGGCGGGGAGCGGGCGGGCGTGCTGGGGGGACGCCGCAGGGACAGGGCAGGGCCTCGGAGGCACCGGGACGTGGGCAGGGGACCCTTCCTCCAGGTGCGCCCCCAGGGCTGCTTGTCCCTCAGCCCGCCCTGCCTGTGCCCGGGGCCTCCGCTCCCACCGCACCCACAGCCGCTCGACCACCCCCGGCGGCGGGTCCGCGCTCTGCTCCGGGTGGTGGAGGTGCCCTTGGGCACACAGTTAAACCACCAAGTACGTCCACAGGGGACGTCACAGGCGTTTCCATTCCTCGATTTGGGGTCAGCAAACTTCTGTGGAGGGCTCAGGCGCTAGAGGGTGCGGGTGGAGGGTGTGTGTGAAGGGCGCAGTCTCCTCTGACCCCCGTCAACCCCCGTCCCACGCCCCGTGGTTAGGCAGGGCAGAGCCGTGGGGTGCGGTCGTGGGTCGCGCCCCCGTGCTGAGTCCCCGCCGTGTTGCCCTGTGACCCAGGTCGCTGACCTGGGAACGACCCGGAGACATGAGCACTTCACCTGCAGGTCGGGCAGGCGCTGGTCACCCCAACCTGGGGCAGAGTCAGGCCCACGGTGCTGCTGTGGGCAAGTGTGTCACGGGGTCACGTGTGATGATTGGGGCATGGGTGCCCCCCCATCCCGCTGGACAGTCCGTGAGCGGGACGGCGCAAGTGCAGAACCAAGGTGATCCCAGACGGGGCCGTGGGCACGTGTATGCAGGTCGCACCCTGGACCTAGAGGGTCACAGTGGCTGCTCCCCCCACCGTCAGGGCTACTCCCCCACATACCCCACCCGTCAGGGCTGGTCCCTCCACCCCTGCGCCCCCGCCCGTCCTTGTCACTCCAGCCCCCGCCCCTGTCCAGCCCCGGCGAGCCCCAGCCTGTGGGCCGCGGTGACCGTCTCTGCTGTGACCCGGATCACACGGGGCAGGGACCCCACTCCTGATGGCCAGTGAGGAGCCCGAGTGGACTTAGCCTGTGCCCCCTCCTCAGGTCCCGGGAGGTCGGGGCCTGGCATGACCCCCGGAGGGGCCCCGTGTGGCTTCCTGGGGAAGCTGACCCAGTCGTCCTCCTGAGGCCTCTGCTGGACGCGGTTCTGAGATGCTTCCTCGGGTGGGGCCCCCCCACCTCAAGGCGCCACGCCCCCGGAGGGCCCAGCGTGGAGGGCCGGCCTCCCCCCCCGACCCTGGCGCCCGGCAGAGCTGAGCCCCGGAAGCAGGTGTGCCGGGTCCCCCTCCCCGGCTCCCCCAACGTGGGACCATGACCCCAGACCCCGCCCCTCTGCCCCCAGGGGCCGCACCGTGGCCCTCGCCTCCGCGTCACCAGCACGTTTGCCTGTTTCTGGGGTGACGGCCGTCCTGGCTGCAGCCCCGCGTGTCCGCGATGGCCTCGTTCCGCGGGAAGCGGTGCCCGCAGCAGCCCGCGGGGACGGACAGATGGCGGGCGCAGACGTGAGCACCTGTGTCGGGGACAGAGAAGGGGACAGACTCCGCCAGGCTGGGGCGGGTGGCCAGCAGCGCTGAGTCCCGGGGTCAG